CCCACCGTCCCTGCCGACCCCCTCAAGCCAACCTGCCCCGTGCGTAGCGTCACATTCGCTACTCCACGACTCGCTGCAATAAACACATTATTTAAAAAACTCGTCATTACAAATGTTCCGATATAATACTGCTAATAGTGGTAGATGATGCCTTGTAGTTTTGTCCCTTTCTCGCACAGCATTTTTCCAATCTGGTCACTGGAGTTTAATAGCTTGGTTATATTTTATAGCAAAAGCTTTTGATCGAAAAGGAGTAATTCATAAATATGGTGTGATTGATCCTATTTATATTAATCAGGAACTTTACCGAACAGGATATGTAGAGAGAAAGTGACTACAGAGTTCTCAAGCGCATATTAGAGAGTCAACCAGAGTTACGTAGATCACGCGGGAGGCCGAAACTAAGATGTCAAGATGATGTCGAACGAGACCTTAAAAATGTCGGCATTAAGGGCTGAAAACAAAAAGCCCAAGATAGATCGATATAGAGGAATTTACTGGACCAGGTCCCGGCCTACCCGCGGCTTTAGTGCCTCTGATGATGATGATGCTGTTTATATGGTTACGGTTTATTACTGTCCTATGGTATTAAAATATCTTCAGAGGTAATTGTAGCTCTTTATTGTAGTAATGAGAAGTGTTTATTACTTACTCATAAATTTTCGAAGTGTCCTCATAGTCGACTGAGTTGTATCTCCTTCGGTTATCGTATCTTCCTTCTTCAATTGCTTATTGACCTGATCAAACAGATATATTAAAATTATTTTAAACGTAAGTAGCGAACTGATAGAGGACATGGCAGATAGATGATAAAACCGATTTTACTTACCAATTTGATAATAGTATGAAGACGCACTAGTCGGTCGGTGCAAACATCAAATAAGACAGGTCGCTCTACATCCAACTGAACCGTGCCTCGAGAATTCGTTATTGTAGATGTATCTATAAAATTAACAATACAAATGTAGAAATGTAACATTTATGCATTGTGTATGGCGAAGTACAACATTAAAAAAACTCTAACTCAAGTTCTGACAATTAGATGGAGAACTTGCAATATTTATAACAAGTTGTTGTTCGTGACTTCGCCGGTGTGAAATTAAAAAAATAAGTAAATACATAGCCCACGTTACTCACAGATAAATAACCTTTCAAGAGAATGTTTAAAATCGGCCTAGTAGTTTTTGAGTTATTCCAATACATATACAATTTATTCGTCCGCGTGGAATAAAAAAAAACAAAAGTAAGTAGCCTATATGTTCTTTCAGACTACCCTCTACATTTACACCAAACTTCATCGA